TTAGTCTTCCTTTTAATCTCTAAATTAATTCATAATTAATTTAAGACTAAAACTAATTAAATAATGTAACTTCATATTAATATATTATAACTCATAATATATTAATAAATATATGTGTATAACTCTCATAAAATTATCCATAATAGTTTGGATGAGATGCAACCCAAATGGACCATGCCGGTCGGGTCAAGTATATACCAAATAAGTTATGGACTTAGACACCCTATCCAACAAGCTTGTCTACATCACCATGTTCCTCCTGTCTTCCCCTCTTGGACCGTATCATCAGGATTTCGTGATGTTGATCATGCTCCATAGTTACGTCCTTGGCATTCTCGGCATCAAACTTGGCACAAAGGCTTCATGCTACCTCGACGAGGTTCCCTTTCAATTGTTTTTCTTCCATATCCCTTTTTAACACTGAGCATTTGACGGTGTCATGAGTATTAGTCTTGTGGTACTCACAGTATCGTCCTTTTCCTCCCTTCACCGGTTGCTTGTCAGAAACTGTATAGACGTTTGGTCGCCTGCTTCGTCTTTCGTCTCTTTGGAGTGTCCTAAAGCATCCTTGCGAGTGCTTTCCTCGCCCAAAGTGTCTATCCCTGCCTTGGGTCTCAGGGTGAGGATATGGTGAGCATTGGCGCTTTGTGACTGAGGCGGTCATGGCGTTCAGGTATGCTTGCTTTGTTACCTCCCTTTCCTTTTGTCTCAGGTAGTGTTCTACTTTCTCTTTTAGCTCTGCCTGCATATGCGGTTTTTTTCCCATGAGCTTTTGAGACAGCAATACTGGGAGGAGGCCCCACATGAAGGTGTCTTCTATTAATCCCTCGTTGTGGCATGGGACGTCCGGTGTGGCATTAGTTAACCTGGTGAAGTATTCCCACACTGTCTCTCCTTCCTTCAGCTTGCAGCCGATAATCGAGTGTGAATCTCCCTTGTATTTATGCAATTGCATTAGGGATGGGAAAAAACCCCGAACCCGACGGGGAAACCCGAAACCCAATCATTTCGGGTCGGGCAACGGGTCGTTATTGGGTTTTTTATCGGGTTCGAGGCAGGGAGTGGGTTATCCTCGCCTCGCCCCGCACCGATTATATATATATATATATATATATATATATATATATATATATATATATATATATATAATAGTGAATGTGGACAATTTTTTAGTTATTAAAAATCTGGTGTGATTGATCATTTTTTATGTTTTGACGTATTGCACTAAACTTAAATCAAATAATCTTTTTAGTTATTAACAATCTAGTTAGAATGATTATTTTTTATTTTTTGATGCATTACACTAAACTTAAATCAAATATTTCTAATATAACGTCCAAATTATTTTATTAAAGTGATGTATCATATTTTTAATTTAAAAGTGATGTATCAACAGACTTGGCAGCCCAGATAGCTGCCTCTAGAGTATTTGTCAGCTCATCTGGTATGATGCGCAATGCAAAATCCATCTTATCTGTAAAGTTATTAGTGTATTCATCAACTGACATGCTGCCTTTCGTCAATGTCAGAAACTTGTTCTCTAGTTCCAACAGATTTTGAGCCGAGCAGAACTTGCGCTTGAACTGCACCAAGAATTCTCCCCATGTCAATTGTAGTGGCTCATTAAGGCTTAAAGTCTTCCCTAGAGTGTTCCACCAACGAACGGATCCACCTCGGAATTGACGCATTGCATAGATAGTCTGCAACTTGCCTCTGCAACCACAAGTCATGAAGTCCAATTCCATTTCTGAGATCCAATCCATAACTCCAATCGGATCCTCCTTTCCATTGAAGGTCGATGGTTTGCAAGTTAGAAAGTCCGTGTACTTGCATCCCATTCCATCATTCCTTCCATCATGGTTGTCTTGCCTAACTATCAGTGGGTTGGCTTGAACAACAGACCCACTGAAGTTTCCACCTTCCGAGTGCCCTTCATTTAATTCGGGCTCTTCCACACAAATTGACAGTTCTTCACGATTCTGTTGAAGCAACCGCCTAGTTTCATCCATCTGACGATCCAACATTGTTTGAATCATCATTTGCACACCAGCCATTGTTATTGGCTCAGGTGATGCTGCTACGACAGGTATTTGTTCAATCACTGGTGGTTGATTCCTGTTTTCATCAGCATTTCCAACTCCACTTCTTGTTCTCACCATTTTTTATCTACACACCGAATAAGGTGAAATTAGATCCTCATTCACGATAGATATTCAAATCATCCTTATCACTCCGAAACGTTTACATGCTAGTTCTAATATCGTAGACGTACGCTTATAATCCTACACACATAAAGTTTCTAGATCCGGTCGGCAACAGACCATAGATCCGAACAAATAATATCATATATGGCAACATATAACATTTAGCACATAGAGCATTTTAGGCAACTTTCCTAAAATAAACTAGTGCTCGTGTCTAAAATATAACAGACACATATCTCAAAATTCCACTTAGCATTCTAAGTTTAAGTCTAGAAATCCTACAAATTCCTAGTTCGCCTTAAACTAATGCTCTGATACCAACTGTGACATCCCCAAAATCTTGGCTAGAAAAGACCGATTTTCATTTATGCTTTTAAAATAATTTCAGAGTAAATCCTTTTGATTTGAAAGAGTTGCGGAATTTGTTCCCAAAAACAAAACGTGATAAAACAATGTTTACCAAAGCATTTCATAAAAGAAATGTATTTTCATTATATAATCAAAACTCGGGATGTCATGTTCCGATACAGACCATAAAGCATAAACGATAACATTACAAGTCATTCAACAAATACATACATATACAGACTTGTAAACAAAACAACTTGATGGTTCATCCATCTTATGCCCTTGCGCCACTTCCTGTAATACAAATAAAACTGAGTGGGTTTGGCTTGGGAGCCTGGTGAGCATATAGGGTTTTCAACCCACAATAAATAATTATATTTAATTTCCACCAACTAATAATAACCTGATTACCCATTCCCGTTATTCTCACCTTACGTCCCTAAGACAACTAACACAAGGGACCTAGTCTAAGAATATTTCATCGGGGCGACAACACATGCTTCGAGGGTTCCTCAGCAATATAAGTCAAATAAGGCAACCATGAGGGGGATGGAATACATCGAATGAACACCGAAGTTCATCAACACCTATAGGTTATGAGCCTGCTAGCGTTCCACTGGACTGTCTAGAAAAGTCTGTGGTCGTCATCTAAATTCCGCTAGATGATTGGATCAAAACAACATCGAGGCCTCTCATCTGTTTATTACACACCAACTATCTACCCATGTTCTACCCAACATACTAGTAGATAAAACATACATTTTTATACATAGTTTAAAACCTGTATATCATTTTCATTCAATACATATTCCACATAACAGATGAGGCACACCCACATAACACGTATTTCATTGAAAGTAAATCAGATCTATGAGATAGAAGAGAGTGAATATACATTCACGCATATAACAACAAAATTATACACATAACACGTATTTCGTATAAAATACTTCATAATTATGCGTTAGAAGAAAGTAACTACACACTCACTTGATCAGAAGATGATCAGACAGCACTACGGCTTGTAGAAGTAGTATTCTTCGACAGATCTGGAAGATCTTCACAAAAACCGGACTCCTCGCGGGCAGAGCTTTGGCTCGGGAATCTTACTTCCCAGGATCTTTGGGACCTCGGGACTTGCTTCGGGGCTCGGGAATGATACCGGGGCTTCGGGATAATTCTTGCACGAAAAACGATGCAAAAATGCGAGAAAAGGGAAGAAATGAGCAAACTATTCAGCTGCCCTCGACACCCTTTTATAGGGGCTGGAAGGTCGATTTACGCTGGGCGTAAATCCTAGTTACGCTGGGCGTAACGATGATAAGATCTCTGACTCCCCCCCCCCCCCCCCCTTCGGATAATATCGGAATTTATATATAAATAAAATATCAAAAATATTTAATAAACTTCAAAAATTCATATCTTCATCATACAAACTCCGTTTTCGACGTTCTTTATATCCCCGCGTAGGTGAGACTATGATCTACAACTTTCGTTTAGACTCTGTCGGCTAATTTTGACTTTATTTTTATTATTTATTGTTAGTAGGCCGGGACAGGAAAACTCCGTTATAAAATCATAACTTCTTCATCCGACGTCCGTTTTCACCTATCTTTTTATCGTTTTACTACAATTAATGAGATCTTCGATTCTCATTTAGATTGTTTCGGCTAAAAACTGCTCGGTCTCAAATCGAGTATTCGGGCTGCATACCGCTAAGTCGAAACTTCAAAAATCATAACTTCCTCATACGAAGTCAGATTTTGGCGTTCTTTTTATGCGCGCTCTTGGTTTAACAAACTCTACGACTTTCGTTTAGATCACTAAGGCTAAATATTGCTCTAACGTAAATTTCACTTTTTACATCATTCAGCGTTGTCGGTTCTGTCGCGAAACTTCGACAGGTCATAACTTCTTCGTATAACTCGGATTTTGGCATTCTTTATATCTCCGGAATCCTTGTTTCGAGCACTACAACTTTATGTAAAGATATTGAGTTTATTTTACACTTAAATTTTGATGCTTATTTTATTTTTAATTAATCAAATCACATAATTAAGCAATTAAGCACAAAACACATAATACTCAAATAATACGCTCTTATCATTTTAAAACAGGTTACAAATGTTAACCTAGACTATTACATCAACGAAAATGCCTAGCCTGGAAACGCAGGCGTTACAGGAGGGTACCTTATGGGTCATACCGTTGATTGGTAATGTATGGTTGCATGAGCATGTTATTGTATGCCGAGGAGTGGCCAAGATTTGTCCCACAAAATGCTTGTTATAGAAATGGGAAGGTTAGTGTTTGGGTGAGCAAGAGGGATGAGTTTTGTGCGAGAGGATTATTGGACACAAGTGGCTGATAATGTGGGATTATGGTGTTGAAGGGTATGTTTGTGACAAACGCAGGTGTTTGGAAAGAGATTGTTTAATCTCTCACCATCTATTTTAGCAGCGGTGTTTGGAAAGCCATTGTTTGATTTCTCACCATCTGGTTTAGCGGCGGTGTTTCGAAAATCATCGGTTGTTTTCCTACCATCTGGTATAGCGGTGGTGGTTGCGATAAAGTCGATGTGACACTGACGTTTTCCACCGTTGGCGGTGCTGTACTATTTGATATCACTGTTAGTTGTGGTGTTTGCATTAGAGCGCTTTGTATTGTTACAACGGTGGAGGAAGTTAGTCCTTCGACGGCCGATCTATGTGACTTGGTTGTTGGAGCGGTGGTTACCGTTGAGCTGCCCTTTTGTGACGCTTCACTAATGAGAAGTGTGAGAATCGGGGTGGTGGTTGGTTCTAACGACATCATACGTCTGATGGGGCTGGTTGGTGTCCCACCAGTTCCACCGGTGTCGTCGGACGTCATTCTTTCACCGATGAGGAGTGTGTTTTTTGTTTGTTTTTTGTCGCACTACGGATGGCCCCAAATGATGTGACCTGGTCCCCGGACGGTGGTGTCGTACGTCTCTGATGATTTCGATGAACCTGCGAGGTCACAACGAGAAAAGATCATCAGTCGTTCTCCGAGAGGAGGCTCCCAGGAAAACACTCTAACGGTCAAGTCAGTGGATAGACTTGGGACTGTATTGTGTGTAAATTGGGAGAAGATGACTTACCTTCCAAGGCACCAGGGGTGGCCTTTTATACTGAGTCCCTCTGCTAGTCCGTACGGGACAAGGACGTTAGACCCGACAGGATCGGGGATGCTGATTGGATAATCGTGCTCCTTAATCTGTCAGAACCAACGATTGGTTCAGGCAGTAACGCTCTGAGCATCTGGCTTGTCACCTGAGGCCGTTATATTTGTCCCGGAGTAGAAGGCGCCCCTGGTCGAGCCTTCTCCGCGAGTGCCCTGCTCTTAGAGGCGTTGATGAGCGTTAGACTCCGTCAGGCTTGGTCCGCTAGGCGTGGCATGCCTTGGGGCATTCTATGGCGTGTCTTCGCACGACTTCTTTGTTCGTGGGGCACGTGATCAATTAATAAATTAAAATAAAAAATCAGAAATAAGTTTTTGTTCAAAGAATCGTAAATCAATTACTATTATGAATAAGAAATCATTTTTCAATCACAATTCATAACTCTCATTCATTCGGAAAATCAGAAATCACTTATTTTACTTATTCCAATTTATGTTTCCGTTGGCGTCTTGTTGAACTAGATAAAAACAATTTTCAATAAAAGATTTGGATTATCATATAAATAACTTGTAAATGATCAACCACTAAGAGTAATTGAGGTATCTGGTGCGACCGTGTCTATGTGTGAGACCAAGGGCGTGTTCGGTAAAATTAGCTGGTAGCGGGTGATTTGTAACTTGTAGCGTTTTGTTAAACGCTACATGAAGTAGCATTTTGATTTGGAACGTTTTGTTTAAACTAAACGCTAGAAGCTTATAGTGCCGAATGACGCTTTCTGTTCAAAATGGAGCGTTTTGTCAAACGTTATAAACTAGAAGCTCTCAAACGCTTCCAAACGCTCTATGTCGAACACGCTCCAAGAAGCCAGGAGAATTAGAAAAAAGGAAAGAACATCGATTGTGAATTTTTTTTTTTTTTAATTGTTATCAATTTTTTGATAAAAAAGAAAAGAAAAAAAAAACGTCCTTTTGAATTTTCTTTTTTCTTTTCTCCAATAAATTGGCTATTTACCGATTATAATTCATTTTGCCGCCTGTTGACTCCTAATGTAAGGCATATTTTTTTTTCTTTGGTATAAATCTATACTAATGTTAGCATCCGAATTTTCTTTTTAATTTTTTTAACTTATATATATATATATATATATATATATATATATATATATATATATATATATATATATATATATATATATATATATATATATATATATATATATATATACTCTAATAAATAAAGATAATTTTGCCAAATGTCAACTTTTTATTGAATTTGACACATAGAATTTTAAAATTATTTTTTTTTCCACTTGTCATTTTTGTATTTTTTTCATTTTTATTTAATTTTTACCTATTAATGAATTCCATTTATTAATTTATATTAATTAGTTTTATTAGTATAGATTAATTAAAACAACTTACATAGATGGTCCTTGTGGTTTACTTTAAAAAATACTTAATTTTACACATTCATATTCAGCATGATTATTTAAAACATGATAATAATTTTTGATTAGTATAGAATTTATTTCAAAATTTTACTTTACAAAATACTTAATGTCTACACCTTATATTTAACCTTTTTAATTAACCCGTGTAATACACGGGTCTCACACCTAGTGTATAATATATAAATCGGATTCTAAAAAATTTGAGACTCCGAGCCCTCGCCCGACCCCTATTGACACGGCCTTGATTTTTAAATTTTTATATAAATTTGATATATTAAAGGAAATTTTATATTTATAATATGTTACATGATATCAAAAATATTAAAATAATGTTATTTCATATTTAAAAAAAGATTAAAATCAAAATTTTATCTCCATTTTTGAAAAAATAAATAATGTTATTTCTTATTTAAAATAATACTATTTATATTTCAAAAAAAGAAAACAATAGGTTTAAAGAACATTGAAAAAAATGATATTTGAAGGTGGATTAAAGATGCTCTAATATGCCTCCTCGGTATACCTTAAACTACACACTGGGTGGCTGAGGTGGCACCACAGTGTGTGGTGATATTTGAAGGTGGATTGAAAAAATGATATTTGAAGATGGATTAAAGATGCTCTAATATGGCCCCTCGATATACCTTAAATTGTACACTGTGGTGGCTGAGGTGGCACCAGAGTGTGTGGTGAAAACTACTCAAACCCCTTGCGGTGACCATAATGATTCCCCGCATCAGATGGTATTACCTCACCTTACTTTGCCACTTTGTGACCATTGATCATTTAATGACTATTTTTCAATTTTTTTAAACTTCACTATAAATGTTACCATTCACCTCTCATTTTACAATACAAAAAAACACCAAGTACTCTATATAAAACGTATTTATTTATTTATTTAAAAATGTCTTCATTGTCGTCGTCCATTTCATCGGATACATTGGCGTTGCAGGAAGCGGGTTTTATCAGAGACGTTATTCGAACAACTCTAGCATATCTACAAGAAAATGAAGTCGAAAGTTCGCAACCGAAACTTAGAAATCGTTATTTACAGATAAGTTGTGAAGTCGGGCACAATCAACCTGTCAATGACTACTTTCACGATGATGCAGTGTATCCTGTCAAATTCAGACACCGATTCCAGATAAGGAAGAAATTATTTTTATCCATTGTCGATGACATCGAAAATCGATTTCCATATTTGCATCAACAGGTTAATGGAAGATGTCAGAAAGGTTTCTCCTCAATTAAAAAATGTATTGTTGGAGTTCGTCAACTAGTAGTTGGCATGGGACTGGACTCATGGGATGAGTATTTGACGATGTTAGAGCGAACGACGAGGGAATGTGCATACAAGTTTGCTAGAGTTGTGATTATTTTCTATCGTGATTGTTATTTATGCAACCTACAATAAGTAACATCCACCAATTACATACAAGATATGAAAATAAACATGAGTTCCCTGGAATGCTTTGTAGTATTGATTGTATGCTGTGGGGTGGTCAATGTGCCCTAATGTGTGGCGCGGTCAATTTATGCAAGGTGATCAAAAGATGCCAACAATAATTTAGAAGTAGTGGTGTCGTATGATCTTTAGATATGACATGCATTTTTTGGTCCAGCAGGTTCCAACAATGAAATCAACATTCTAGACAAATCGTTAATATTCAACGACGTCTAACTTGAGAAATCGTATGATGTGTCGTTTCAAGACAATGACGTCTTACAAGCATGGATATTACCTTACTGATGAGATATATCCCGAGTTAATTGCGTTTGTGAAATCATTTGCATGTCCAAATGATGAAAAACGAATAAACTTTAAGTTGGCCCAAGAATCTGTTAAGAAAGATATCAAACAAACATTTGGTGCTCTAAAGAGACGTTGACAGATACTCGCAACACCAACACGATCTATGGAGCACTAATGAATAAGTAGTTTGTTGTATGCATGTATCACAGCGCATAATATGATTAGAGAAGACGAGGGGAATCCAATTTGCCACTACAATGAAATGAGGATTTACCAGATGTAAAAGGAGTTGCCAAGTTGGTGTCGGTATGCAGATGTACATGGTGAACATAACGGAGGTGTACGACCGAGTTGTACACCACAACCTTCGTACGGATTTGGTGGAACACGTCTTCAATGTTTGAGTTAATCCCTAGACGATTTTGATGAAAATGAATTGTTCAACTCTAGTGATGACGAGTCACGAATGTTTGAAAAAGATTTCGACGAGGATTATGACGATGTGACTAGTGATGATGATTACATTATGTTTTTTTATTTTTATTTTTGATGTTTTAAGTGTTTTTTTTTTTTTACATTTCTAATGTGGATTGTATATTTTTTAATTAATGAAGTATTTTTTTTATTAATTTATATATTTATAATTTATTAAATTATATTTTATTCACTTAAGAAAAAGAGGAATAATAAAAGATAAAAATATTATAAGGTGTAGTGTTTTTTAAAATAAAAAGAAAATGATATGATGATTACGTAACAATGGCCTAAAACATAAAACATGCCCGTTCTAAAAGATCAAATGATCGATCGTATGGATAGAATGCGGATCGAATTCCCCATTCCAAGATTTTAGAAGTCATTATCCGAATATATATTTGATATTTCAGATAGAGCAGAATGTACAAATTTTCATATATAATATTTTTACATGAGGGCCACCGCCCACAGTCGTGTCTCCTCCAAGCTCAATATCCTACATGCATGCATTTCCAATATCTGGAAATACTTTTAGACGTATTTAATAAAAAGCTTGATTGGACCATCAATATGAGTAGTCGATTGATCAATGGGTAAGAAGCATTAAATGCAGTCCATTTCGTTACCGCCTCAATACTCCATATTCATTTTCCCCATGAAGAAAAGAAGTTATTCAACTCCACATCCCATTGACTATTTTCATTTCAATACTAATTTATGATGAGTTTACTCTCCAAATTAAAACCATATATGTTAGTTAATTCGTAGCATATATGTATAAAATCTGTTTTTTTTTTTTTTATGTAAAAATTGTTTTTATGTATAAAAATGTATTTTTATATATTTGTGTGTATAAAAACTATATTATACATACAAATCTTATTCGTATACCTATATTTTAGAAAACATAAAATATATACAAAATACGATTTATATATATCAAATAGGATTTTTATACATACATAAATACATAAAAATATATTTATATACATAAAATATGTTTTTTACATATGAAAACAAGTAAACTACGTATTTTTTTAGTACAT